TTTGTGTTGAGTCCAGGAGTTGTTTTTAGTGGATATCTCGCACAGTTTGGCACGACTTCAGTGTCTGAGTCTATCGCTGTACTCAATACAGTATATGATATAAGCCTCGAATCGTTGGCAGAGCTCAGGCACATCCACGCCGTCAGACTTGACACCCGACGCAAGTGTTTCATAGAAAACACTATTCATAGTATTTGCCACAACTGTCCTAATATTAAGACATTTGTAGTGAACATCAATTCAGATAAACAGTTAAATATTGCTTATAGTGATAGCAGTGATGAGTCCAGTGATGATCATTATTACTCATCTGATAGTGATTAGTGTTTTGAAAGCAATTGTTTTATTGTACGGCAATTAGATTTCAGTTATAACTTATAAGTTATTAGAGATTATTATCATTATTACGGGACTCTAACACTAAAGTCATTCATATTATCGTTAATATTCAAATTACAAACAGTATAATATAGATAACGTTAACTATTTTTATACCGGTACTATTTAATAGTTAAATTTTAATTCAAAGACCTCTCATATCCTGACAATTAGACTCCCTTTCCCATCACTTCACAAACATTTACAAAGTTTGCCAAAAAAGTTAACATTAATTTGTGTTTTTGATCTCATTTCCTTTATATAAAATACAAAACTTAATAAATAAAATTCAATGTTATATTTAATATTTAGTCAAAAAAGTTGTTCAAAATGAATGAAATTTATAACAAATTCATTTTACTAGTTATAATTCTTATAATATGTGCAAATATTACTTTTGAGACACATATTCATGGTATTGATTCCCGTTTTGCTGGATATTCACCGACACATCGCATATACCCCCGAAGGGCACGATTTTTCCGATACTCACCCCTAAGGCGACCGTTTATTATCAAATAAATGGCTTTACTTTTTCAATAACTTTGTTTTCATTCACTTAATTATATTGTAAGCGTTATTTCACAAGAATAATAATTATTGATTTATAAAAATGATTAATAATTTATTTTCAAATGTAATATTCATTTAATGAATATTTTATCAAAATTTTTGATTCATTGAAACCATTGATGTTTGGCAACAGAATCGCAGTCTTTGTGTCGGAATTCACGCATCGATTGAATCAAATCCAATGTTAAACACCGATTGAATTGCGAGTCAAATGCCGTATATTTGCTGATTGTCTCCATTATGTCGGCCATCATATAGATGTCAGTCATTTGATCCAATTCTTCTTCGCTGTACTCAAAGTCACTCAAAGAACTGATAGACTTTTGATAGAAATTTGATTAAAACATTTAATTCATTAATAATTGTCTCATTATTACCGATACGTCTTGAGCCTCATCCTCCTCTTCATTGGCGTCATTCGTGGTCTCATTGTCTTCATTGACATTATCAACGATATAATCGCCATAAATCTGATCCAATTCCTCGTCGCTATACTTACAATCACTCAACGGTTGGATAGACTTTGGAAATAAAGGTATAATTGATTACAAAATTACTTCAAAAGTATTTTTATTCAATTACCACCACATCCTGTATCTCATCCACCACTTCATTGATCTCATTGCCTTCATTATCATCATCTGCGGTATTATCAGTGACATAATTGTCATAAATATTAGAGTTCAGACACCAGTACTTAGGGTTGAGTCCGAAATCCGATAGTTTGGCGACCAATACATGCTTTCTCTCGGATTCGCTGAACTCCTTAAACAGCAAAACATTATTCGCTTTAATATTGCCGTGAATTGTGTCCAATCGGTGCAGACATCCGAGGGCTGACACCAACTGTTGGCACCAACTCTTAGCCTCACTCTCGCCGACAGACAATCCCTTTCCACTCAATTCACGCAAATAATTGTCTAAATTTCCGTATTCACTGTAATTCATGAATAAATATACGCTCTCATAGGACTGGTCTGTAGCATCGCCACTTTGACCTAACTGTCCACTACTATCACCGGCTGTATCTCCACTGACCATATGTAGGCATATGTTATAGGAAACGAGGTTCGGGTGCCATAAGTATGAACCCAATTGTCGCATATCATCGATGAATTGTTTGATGTTTTGTTCAAATATAGACTTTTTGAATACATTTCGTCCCTTAATGTCAATGTATTTGACGGCAAACTCTTCGTCGATACAAACGTCTAGTAACTGGTCCTCAATATCGCGAATACCGATAGCCATCGAGCCATACGTTCCCCGATATACTGTTCCCATATTTCCGACACCAATCGTGTCATTGATATCAAAACCAATAGTTTTCAGAATATTCTTGTCTTCAACGGGTATTTCAAATGAGTTGTCATTCATTTGAGACTTATTTGGTGTTTGAAATAGTTTTATGCTTTGATTTCCCATTTCTTAGGCACAGAATTGAACCCTATTTTCGAGTGATTACTGATTCAGCAGTTATTTGATGAATAAAACTAAATATTTGCCAAACATTTAAATTTAAGACTAGTTTTACTGATACGTTAGTATAATAGTCAGTATTTTATTGATATTCTGGGAATAGGTTTTGAATTGAATTCATTGTTAAACTCGTGATTAATTGATAAAACAATACTACAATTCATTGCATATGTTTTACAGAATATATGTTTTTTGCATTACAAGTAAGTAAAGTATTATAAAGAGATATGTACATTTTTATAAAACTATGTTTAATGTTAATTATAAGGCTATGTACCTGGATGAATGGTAGACTAGCCAGTGGCTATAGTATACAGTATATAGTAAGTGAACCCAACCATGCAATCACTGTCACAAAGTAGATATTTTATAGACGTTTTTGACGTAAGCATACGGCGTGTGAATCACGTGATTGTGTCAACACTTTGTTTACGAAATCATAACTCATTTCGTATTGTTTTGTCATTTATTGACAACTATTTATCACTTCTTATAACTGTTTCGTTGTTTTAATCATTGGTTTCCATGTTTTGACTGCAAGTGAAAGCATTTGATGAGTGAATGAGTGTTTGAATTGAGTGTCGATTACTAGTGATTAGTATTTGTGTTCAAAACAATCGACACTTCATTGCAATCAATGTGTAAGTAATAAATAGTTTGTGGAAATGAGTGACAATTGCATTGAAAATCACTTTTGCATTCAGTTTACAGACTATTGGTGTCCGATGTGGAGGTCGTGTTGTTGTCCACAGATCTGATTCAGTGATGAAAATATCGCAACAATTATTCACTTAATGTTTGTCTGATTTTCGGTTCATTTGAGTTTTGATTGTATTTATCATTAGTTTTATGTGTTTTTCACTCAAATTAGTGTTCATTTGAATGATTATAATGTCGTATAATATGGAGACAAGAGTTTTAAGAAGTCATACAAAACGGAGACAATTGTTGGCCACAAATGAATCGAAAGCCAATCGCAAAGACTCTTTCGACCGCTTCGGCGATGATTTGTGTCAACACTTATTGTCTTATCTATCACTCGAAGACCGGTTCCGTTATGAATGTGTGTCCAAACAGTGGCAGACATTGATATATAAGACACAAAACGAGATTGTATTTGACGACACCTTCAATGCATACACACTTAACTGTCAATCATTTGAACTAATGGTGAAAAAGTGTACAAATGTTACACGAATTCAATTGACTGGACGTATGTTTCGCTTAAACAACACAATGTTTGCCTCAATTGTAAGGCATTGCAAGCATTTGAATGCATTTGACGTTCAGTTCCCTCTAAATGTGAACATCAAATGGATGGACAAGTTTTGGGCGAAGTTTGCCAAACAGTTGACGTCTTATACGTATCCCTATTATCCACTGACGCTATTCAAGAAACATCACAACTCTATCGACAATAACATCAAGAATTGCCACAATCTTCGGGAACTCGTGTTTCTCTTCAATCCATTCGTATTGCCGTCCAATATATTCAACGATACAAATGATGTGATGTTTACGCGATTACAGAGTTTGCGGTTTAGTTTCGGTGACATTGGAGGTGTGGATAGTTTTCAAAAAGTTGTCGAAACTTATAGAAAGAGTTTGAAATCAATTGAAGTCTTGAATATGAATTGTGATGAGAAGTCATTGATTATACTAATGAAAGGTTTGTCACAATTAGAGGCATTGGTTGAGTTGAAAGTGAATTGCTCTCAAATAGTCGAGGACTCCGTGAGAGTTGTATTTATGAGACAATTGCCACAAATTGGTGTCAAATGCCGGCGATTGAAGAGTTTGTCCCTCACTTCAAGTCATCATCTGCTGGACAATGATTTCAAAGAATTAATAGCAATACTGAACCAAAACTTCAATCGATTGACTCGTTTGCAAATCTGTGGATATATTCCCCTGAAGTGTGTTTTGCCCAACGAATGGCTCAATCAATGCAAACGATTAACTCATTTATCTCTCACAGCAAATCTCAATTCACTTATACTATGTTCTCTGAATGAGTCGTTTTTAGTGAATATCGCACAGAGTTTGCCACGACTTCAGTGTCTGAGTCTAACATTTTGTTCATTAAGTGACACTTCGCTGGAATCATTGGCAGAGCTCAGGGATATTCAGACCATAAGGCTGGAGACCATACAAACGAATATCAGCGAAAACTCTGTTCGCGATATTTGCTACAAAAATCCAAATATTAAGACATTTGTTGTGAACCAAGTGAAGTCTTTTATGGAAATCATTTTTGACTTCAATGATGACTCCAGCGATGACTACTCCGATGAGTGATTTAATCATGTGTTGGATTATCGTATGAAATAGTATAGGAAAAGCTTTTACGGTATATTCGCAACACTTTTCATTGACAAATTCAAAATTAATAGTTATTATATTAACGTTTAACCTAACGCCTAAAATTGTATTCACTTTATTTGCATTATGAATACTACTATTATCATAATGATATCAATAAAAAGAAATTGTATTTTATTAATTAAATACTTTTTTATGAAAATCACAAATACTTAAATTATTGTATTACTTACAAAAACAACATAAATGCTCCATTTCAATCATTTGACTGACACTGGGTATTAATAATACAATTTTAAGAATATTGTCATTCATTATGGGAGACCTAACACACCATAACCATATGGTTAGGACAGTCCGATTTCTCCAAGTCTCCCCACCCATAGTAAAACTTGTGGTGTACTTTGCCGACCACCAGGGTCTCTCTCGGACCAAAGTGGAGGTCACATTTACCCACAAATACGGGAATGGAGTTCAAGTCGTGGCCGGCGATGAAGGCCCTGTCGGGTACAGCATCGCTGCCATGCCTTTCCACCCAATCGTAGTCGTGTCCGGTCAGCACCTCGTAATCGGATTTGATTGAGATGGCCTTCCCTCCCATCGTAACCACACACCCGATGTTCTCATTGGCTTTGCCCGGAATGATGTCTTTGTCCTGTTTATGGCGACAAATATATAGCGGTTTAGTGTCCACATCAAAGCCACCGACGATCGCAGTGTCGGGTATTTTAGTGCCCGATATGGGTATCCATTGCAGGGAACAGTTGACTGAATCGAGAGAATATTGTAATTATCTGTGAATAAAGTATTCAAAAGTTTTTATAAACTTATTATCGATACCTCTTTTGGTGTCGTCATCGATGGTCACAATGAATGTGCGGATCTGTTGCGGACTCAACTCAATCTTCGAGATATCGTTCACGGGTTCACCGGAATTGACGGCAACCTCATTGACGGGTCGTTTGGATTTCCATTTCAACCGATTCTGTTGGGATTCCGAGAGCTCCTGATTTGCGCTTAAAGTCATTTCGCGGATGTTTTTAATCTTAATGTCTTTAAACATGTTTTGCAAATCAATTTCCACGGCTTTCGACAAATCGTTTTTGTCCTCAATTTGGTAGAAGTGCTCCAAACGGACGAGTAGTTCGCTTTGTGTCCACTTCTCTAATGTCAACAAATGGACATTTGATGGCAAACCGGATGTCAGCCCGGAATAGGAGGTCTTGAATTGCTTTCGATACACATCTGGTGTCTGAGTCAACGGCGCGAATGTCATCAATGGAGACATCACTAGTCGTCGACTCAAATCGCGGTACAGTTTTGTCGACTCATTGATGGGTTTGAAAAACAAGTAGTGCTTCCCTCGGACTACCAGCCCTTTCCCGTCAACACCAGTCTCGTTAAGGCTGATGTCTTTTACGGCTAGAAGTCTCCTATGGATCATAAGCTCCAACTGTCCGTCAGCCTCACTCGAGCCTCCCTGTGCTCTGTCGGTGAGCACCGTTAGCTGTATGTCCTTCTGGTGGTCCTGAATGAAGCTGCGCTCATATATGGGGTAATAGTTTTTGGAAACGCTTTCCTTGTATTGACCGCAACTCTGTTGCTCTGAATTTCTCACTCGTTTCACCTGAAAGTCAAAATCAATGACAAAAACTTCAGTTTTAAGTGCCAATGAATACTTGTTTTACATTTTGTCGTCCGTTGGCGTCCGTATAAAACTCTTTGTTGTTTTCAAAGTTGGTCTCAAATCTTGTGATCACTTCTTTGCCGATGTTGTCGTCCACGGGAACGGGACCCACAGTCCACTCCATCTCCACGTACTCCTCGTCCGCGTAGACACGGATGGTCTGCGCGATCCAGTCGTTCCACTGCTGCCTCACCTCTTGCACCGACCCGTCGCTGTAAACGGCCTCCAGTTTCACGGCATCTCTGGGTATGTCGTATACCTGTCCCTCCACACAGAACTCGTAACTCGAGTCGTGATTGGATTTATAAAACTTAAAGGACTGCTTCAATGGGAACTCTTTTCCATTCGACAGCTTTATTGTCTCAATATTACCTGTCTTTGGATCTAAACTCATAGTAAATCCCTTTCCCTTCAGCTCTACATTTAAGTTATTACTTATTTTTACAGATTTGTTTGCAGTGAACGGTTTGTCTGGAAATGAATGTATAATAAATTGTTAATTAAGAGTATTATAATAATTCAAATTAATTAGGGATCACTCAATAAGTATGTACAAAAATTTGGTCTTAAACTTATTTAAAATTACAAATCCCTTTGTGTACATACGTATGTTTTATCCCCTAATGATCACTCACTTATCTTTTTAATAAAATATGTAACAAATCCCAGTTTTTCGAGGTTTGCCTTAAAAAGTAACTCAAACTTTGCGGAACTATTTCTCCCGGGAAGGTGTAGTACTCTCTCCGATATGGGAACGACATGTATGTCCGTAACTTTAGTGCCATTACTATCGGTCACCTCATATGTGGCGTCCGAAGTGATTGGGATTCTCAGCCATTGCTGGACGGGCCGTGCGATCGGATTGAACACAATGACCGTAAACTCGTTGGACGTCTCCGAGACGTCACATTCACTTGTGTTAAGCCTATCGCAGAATATCTGTTTCGGGAACGAGTCGTCCGATTGTGAGTTTGGCACCAGTTTTCGATACATCCTATCGATGGCTTCGTTGAGGGCGTCGGTGGCGCTGAATAGCCTCTGGATGTAGTCCTCGATCACGAACTGAGGGGATGTGCCTGTGATGGCGTCGTGATGGGTGAGGACCGACACCTCATTGCGGGCCTCATCCAGAAAGGGCTCCGACTCCGGGATTCTGGTCATAGCATCCAATTGTTTGGCGATTTGAAGCAAAGTGTTTGTCGTGCGCTCCTGACGTTTAAGGGACGGCCTACTCGTGAAGAAGCCCGACCACAGCGGGAAGTAATCCCTTTCGCGGAACTCAAACGTGCGGTTGAGTTGGTTGATGGCGTACAGGTAGCACATGGGGTTGGAGTACATGATGTGGACGTCCGGGTGGTACTCGTGTACGGCGTCCACCAGTTTGTCTAAGTTAGCGAAATAGTGTTCCGCGTTATTGTACTTAAAGTNGGCGTCCACCAGTTTGTCTAAGTTAGCGAAATAGTGTTCCGCGTTATTGTACTTAAAGTCGTCGCCGAAAGTCATGAGCACTTGATTCGTGTCACCGAAGTCTTTGCTCCACTGTTTGGCTAATGAGGCGATTGTGTCAGCCTTTTGGCGCTTGTTTTCGCTGTTAATGTCGTTGCCTAATAACGGAGTGGATATTGACTTATATTTAGCTTATGTAGTATTGGTATACCCAGTACTCATTTTTGTGAAATTATTTTTTATAGTAACTAGTTGAGTTTCATATTAAGACATAAAATATTCTATTCTTTAATAGATATGAGAATGAGTTTCACTATTGAATTACAAAATTCTATTCATTGTTCATATAAACTGTGAAATCAAGTCAAATAATTTATTTAGTCAACAAATAATCAAGTTTAAAATCTATTAAGCACACAAAACCTCTTAGACTTTGGTTGAACTTGCTTAAAATAATTTCGAATAGATTAGAAAGTAGTGTCACGGGGGATTACATACAGTAAATGAGCCAGTCTATATAAAATAACTAAAAATCATTTTGAATACCGTCTTCAAAGTCGAAACCGTCGGGTGCGCTGTAATGGTTGTGTAGAATTGTGGTGAATATATCGGCATTGACTCCCAAATCAGGACTTCCGCCCCAAACGAACTCTCCCTTCGGGAAGACCCCTCTGTTGAAGACGTGTCCGTCGAAACCCATTTGCGCGTAAAGGGATGCCATCTCTTTGGACGCACCGAACGGATCGATTTGCCACGAAATCAGTGGACGACCGCATCGGCCAAACAGTTTGTCCAGAATTCTGGGTCCGAGGGTTTTGGTTGAGATTTGGGGTAATTATGAAAGTTATTAAATAATTTGCATCACCCGTGCAGTCATTATTTTGATTGTCACACAAATAAACGAAATCTTTGCTAACCTTAACCCCAGTGTCATCTGATCGATGATCTCATTATAATGAGCCACACCCTCATCGTTGACAGTATAGCCCCCGTTGGCGAACGCCAGTCGACCGGAACTGACCAGAGTATGGACCAAATCCCTGGTCTCACTGCTCTGTTCAGACCACCATCTGTTGAAGTAATAGGTCTCCACTTCCGTGAACTTTCGCTGAGGATTCTTGTCGAGTGAATTGACAACATTTGTGAGGATGTGCTGAACGGAGTCGTCGTAATAGCCGTCGGCCGTCTTCAGCCATCCCACGTCGTCGTGAGAGTGGGCTATGATATGGATGTTTAACTTCTTGGAATCCGTTGCCGCACACGACTTATAGCCGCATTCGCCGCCGATTTCCCTTATTATCGCCAAAACACTTAATATACAAATAAATGTATTTTTATGTTTCATGTTTTATAATTGTATAGAGTTTGTAGTTTATATGGAATTTTAATTAT